AGAGAATGTGTGTCATGCACGCAATTTTTATCCTTGTGACGTAAGAACTTTGAATATGCATATGTACGCGAAATTACAAATTTACAGATTTTCGAGAGGATTAATGTTTGCCAGGATTAATGTTTGAGGGGCTGCAACAAGATTAACTGCGGTGCAATTTTATATATTTGAAAATTGTGAAAGATCGATGCAAAAGAGATATAAAAGATTATATCATAATTTTCGATGTGCAATTGGATTTCTCTTATACACATTTTTCTTTCAATCGCTCTAGCAGTTCCTAAGCCACCAGGCATCATTTCCCATAGTTTCGTAATATTATTTAACTCTCCGTGAGTCAACATTTTTTTCACTGCTTTCTTAGTCCAACTGGTGCCTGATTGTGTTTTTCAAAGTGTCTTTGGATTATAATAAAATCTGAAAAAATTTCAATGATCCAAAATTTTTTACTTTTTTTGTGTATATCTAAATTTGAGATAAAATAATTTAATAACTTAAATAAGACAGATCAAAATTAGAGCCAAAAATAATTAAAAATTAAAAATTCGACTGAGTCTTCAAAGCTCCGATTGTACTACGGAAGATTAATGTATCAAGTAGAATTTTTTCATATTTAAAAATTTTCAAGATAGAAAATTTATGTCATTAAATATGACGGTATAATACATTTCATTTTTCAAAACTTAAGAATGCCGTAAGGGATTTTATGTCCCGCATACTCTTTTCATCCACTTATCATTCCATATTAATTATGCTCTTATTAACATCATTTAGACATAGCTGCTATATTAGTTGCGAAAGACAAATTATTGCATGGTTTACATCGAAAATCGTGTTCAATAAATCATTAGCTGTCTCAATACGATTTACTTATTATAATTTTTTTACAATTATGAAACCAATATTACATATATATGCCAAAATCGCTGCTTGCATGAAATTTTATTCGAGCTTTGCATAGTAATTGTGTGTTAGCCATGTCCTTTTTCTGAGAATTATTTGAAGAAGAAATAATTTAATTTGTCTGAGAAACGAATTAAATTATGTTTAAACTTGATACATTTCTATGGATAGCGATTATGCACATATTGATCAAGACAAAGGGTAGGATATTTTAAAACGAAATATAGAGTGCAATTATAAATATGGAATGGAACGAAATATGGAGTGCAATTATAAAGAAGAGTATTAGCTTCAGACCTAATGCGATTTTTATAATTCCATGTAATTAAAATTTCTGAATATATAATTTAACGCTTCCTATTGTGAGAAATGTGATTTCTTATAATATAAAAAGATTGAAATGAATTCATATCGTTATCGTATCATATTAAAAAGATTTCTATAATTTTCTATTCTTATTACTGTTCTATATTACATAATTGTGTCTCGATTATAATCTTAAAATGACGCGTAATGTTCAATGATACGTTATTTTAAATATGTGCTTGAATATTCTTAAAGTTATCCGTAATGTAATCCTAAGATATTATCCTAAAGTATTGTATTTATATATTAAAGTAAACTGTATACATTTATCGTTCATTAATCGCTCATTTATTGTTGCTAAGATGTACGTCGGAAAGCAAAGGACATGGCACACCTGTAGATACGAAATGCCGGACTAGCACGAGAAGCGAGCGGCCGACCAGTAGAGGCAAGCGAGAAGCAGAGCAAAGTAGTGACAAGGGAGTAGAGAGTAAATACGTAGAGTGAGGGAGAAAAAGTGAACGATAGAGAAAAAAGAACAGCATCCCATCGTTAAAAATTTGCGTGGCGCAAAATTAGCAGAGAGAATGAGTCACGCTCAACAGCATGTGCTTGCGAGCGCGATAGTCCTCGCGATGTTAGTGGTATTCTGCATCCACGTCTTCCTGTTTCCCATGTACACATCGACCCCGCCGGCACGTCACATGAAGATCTTCGCGTATGAGCAAGCACTCTGTCGCACGAACTTGAAGAACAACATCCGTATATCGGCGTCAGAATTGCGCAACAATCCTTGTCCCAAATATGGCATAGTCTCGGCGATGCAAGGTGGTAGACTGGGTAACCAGATCTGGGAGTACGCTTCTGTGTGGGCAACCGCCCGGAGAACCGGCCTAGAGCCATTCATGCCGCGTTGCATACTTAAGACTCTGGAAGAGCACTTTGAAAATCTCAGTATCCCGCCACTCAGCTACATCGGTAGATGTACTCTAGACGTTGGCCAGATAGTTAATTCACTCAGTCAATGGAACAGTACCGAGCAAAACATCATAATACCTAGGTATTTTTACCTCAGTATTTTTAGAGATTTCACAGCACAAACTATTGTGAAATAAATACGTAAATAAAATTATGCAAAATAAACAATAAGTTTCTCTTAATCTTTTTAAAAATATAAAATTTTATTTAAATATAATTTAAATAAAAATTAATTTTTTTTTTCAGACATGCGGCTTATTGGTCTTTGATACTGGTCTGGCTAGATGACGTACGACGAGAATTTACATTCAAACCGAGTCTAAGGCTCTACGCAGAGAAAGTATTAAAACGCGTGGCAGAAAAATTCAACTTGTTCTCGCCAACCTACGTCAGCGTACACGTACGCAGAACCGACTACGTAGATTACCTTTGGCAAAAGTTGAAAACGCGGCCAGCGCCGGTAAGTTACTATTTGTCGGCGATGGATTACTTCGCTGGCAAGTACAGCAACGTGATCTTCGTAATAACGAGTGATAATATCGCTTGGTGCAAGTATAACTTGCGCAGCAAACGTCACCGAATCAGCTTTGTATCAGAAAATGATGGCAAAGGCCCGGGGAAAGATCTGGCGGTTTTGTCCGCGTGCAACCATAGCATAATAGATTACGGTACTTATGGCTCCTTTGGAGCTATTTTGGCCGCCGGCGAAACCGTAGTTTATAACGTAACAACATACTTTTCTACGTTGATTGCTGACGTTCTACCAAATTGGAGGATAATGAGTTAAACGAAAAAAATTAAATAATCCGTAAAGCAAACAGAACACATTTATGTTACATCGTATGCGCACATTTTTTGTAATACATAATCTTTTCGAAAGGCGATAAATTATTTCTTGGAAACTTTTAATTAATTTACAAGTTTCTGTAAACTTACGATTCCTTTTCAATACCAGTAAAGTACAAAATTTGCAATTCAGTGTTTAAATTAATTAACAATTCTTATCAGACCGCAGACCAAGTGTGTACAAGCTACACAGATAATCATTGTATATTTACATCTGCTAACTATGCAAATATGGTAATTTTGAACTACTTGAAAGTGTACCTTGCCTTTCTCCTATCTAGATAATATATATGCTCATATATTTTCCCTTTATTTATCATACAAATGCGTAAGTATCTCGCTAGTAGTAAAATTAAATGAAAGTGTGTTGCTACATCACATCAAAGTTGATATATATAAATGCATCATACTGCTTAACTATATGAAGCATATATTATGCTTTCATTTAAATTTAATGTGCGCACAACAAGTTAGAAATCGATGCACTTATAAATGTAGCGAGCGAATTTTTCAAGGAACTCGAGGAAAAGATTTACAATGGAACAATGGACCACTAATATCTAAAATTAAAAACAGAGGCTTATTTTTTCTACGACTCTGATACATACTTGACACGGCCGTAAAAATTTAATAAAAAAGAAAAAAGCGTAGATCGGAGTTCTTTCCAGATAAGGTGGTAACCAAACGAGCCTAATTCAAAGAAAAAAAATACGCGTACAGATAAATTCTAAATTTTGCAGTGCTCAGAATTATATCCGATTAATCTCTTAGCATTTCACGTAATCTTTTCCGAAATCTGGATTTTTTATATATTATTTCATAATTTCATAATTTGTGTAATTTTCTATGTAGAGCCTAGTTGTGGGGTTTCAAATTTGATTGATTACACGTTTCAATGTGCATTTCATATCGTAGTAAGCGTGTAACATACACTTCACAGACACGAAACCGACATATTGACAAAACCATCTATAAATCTTATAATGTACAATGATTTCAACTGTGATTCTATTTCTTATTGTGCCAAAATTCTTAATATACACATAAGCATATATATAAATATATATGTATAATATATATATATATATACACATCTATATATGTATTATAAAATTATATCTATACAAAGTGTTGTATAATATTTACAAATCTGTGAGCAAATGATAAATTATTTCTTCACTTAACCGTAAAGTATTATAAAATGGAAAAGTTTACAGACTATTACTATTATTGCGTGAGAAACGAATGGGGAAATATTTTACACAAAGCCAGTGAAATTTATTAACCATGTGACCTGATGTATTTGACTTACAGTGTTTTACAAGTTAGACTATAGTCAGTGTCTAATATCTATATGTTAATATCTATATATGAATGTTTTCAATGTATTTGTGCCTGCCAGTTGTTGAATATTTAACAAGATGGAGCATAAAATGGAGTTATGCAATTAGTAATAGAAATGAAAATATATAAGCTGAATATATACGATTTCGGATTTTTCATTGCCAACATTAACTGCGACAAGAAATATGATTAGAAGCAAAAGCATAAATATGTTGAATAATTACTGAGGCTATACAACTTCCAGGCATAATACGATCTACTCTGTACATTCTCTGTGATAATTTTATGTAATTTTTGAAAATATAACGCATAAGCTAAAGTGTATTTGTTTTACAGAATAAAAATACTCTGTGTCAAAAAATTCTGTACATATATCGATCTTGCTCAAAAATAACATTTCAAGTTTTTCCAAGTTCATCGCTAGGTGTATTAAATGCGCGTATTATCAAATATCCTATACAGTACTAAATACATATCAAATTGTACGGCTTACTAAAAACTTATTATCTCTCTTTCACTAAAATCTATAAAAAGTAATGATAAAACACTTGTCACAATTTTCTTAGACAAGACAATATAAAATTTTCATAAAATCGATTATATATAAATATTTTTAAAATGTATTACTGATTTGCGGTAACGAGACCAGCTGGACCTAAACCCAATTTCGCACCATTTATCTTCATTCTCAAAGGTTGAAATCCAAGTTCAGTTTTGGGAATTCCATATTCTTGCAATTTACTCTCATAAACTGCTAACAAATCGTCATGTGCTTTACATACTTTTGCTAATTCATATTGTAGGTCTTGTATTGCAGTATTTTTTCTATTGAGCATATCCTACAAAGAAATGTTGCATTATTATCATATTCGTATTTAATTCACATAATTGTGATAAGATTGTATTTAATGTGTACCTCTAATTTTTTATTCATATTAACCACTGCCGCAGGATCTAATTGAGCAGCAGCTAACACTTCGCTAATCTGCGCTTCACGTTGCTCTAGCAAATCCGATAACTTTTCTAATTTTTTTTCTAAGAGTACATTCTTTAAACCCGTTTTTTGTTGCAGCTCAAATATAGCCGACACAAATCTAGAATGTAACTCGTCTCTTTCGGATTGGCACTAAATAAAATATATTAGAAATATTTTATAAAAAATAGTATATGTATGTTTTGAAAATGTTATATGTATTGTTTAAATATTTTACTTTTTCAAAACGCAGCTCGAGAACTTCATTTTCCCATTTTAAATTTTCTAAATCCTTCATCACTACGGATAATCTTCGTTTTGTGTTCTGTAATAATTATTAATTCAGTTTTTCATAGCGCTATTATATAATGATATGTTTTAAATACCAACAACTAAGCATTGCTTGTCTTTCTCATAATTTGCAAGTTGACGATTAAGTTCGGTAATCGTTTCCTGCAAAGCTTTCAAGTCAGTCAAATATTTTTTATTTTCTGTTGTTAATTCTCGTACTTGTTTCTTCATACGTTCTTCATTATTTTTCATCATTTCCATTTGTTCCTATTAAAAGATAATCTACGTTAATTGAAAAATTATCGATTCTTATTTTCCGTGACTCTATAATTGTAAAATTTATAATAACTATAAAGTTCACCTTTATACTCTTAATTAACGATAAATTATTCAGAGTGATATCATTGTAATAATTTTTCATTTCGGTAAATGCATTCTCGTGATTCTTTATCAGATTCGCAATTTGCGCATTCTTCCTCTCCTCTACTTCAGT